TTTCATCCATTGGCAGGCTCTGAGCAAGAAGGCAAGAGCATGAATAACTAATGACAAATATGTCCATGAAGATCTCTCCTGGCTGTTTTGAAATGTCTTTGTTCACACAAGAGAGTTGATGAGCAAACAACTGAACAGGAAGGGAATTCATAAAACACAAGAGCAACTCGTAAGCACTAAAACAACAAAACTATTTATCTTTCAAGGTACAATGCTGACTTTCTTTAAACACTTCTCAGGACATTCAAAGACTCAGGCAAACAGCGGTAGCAACGGGATAACTTAATACTTCCCTCCTTTTCCCTCTACATTGTTGGTTATCTTTCTCATACTTGAATCATCCAAGTGGAATGGCAGCACGCACCTCAGCCCTGTCACTGTGCAATCTCACAACTTAGGATATTAACAGATGGGCTTTAGGAAGTCTAGAAACATGACTGATTGTTCTTCCTGTCTCTAGGAAGCTGCTACCCCTTGCACAGATTCAATGGAGCAGAACTGGCAGGTACCCCTCAGCCATCTCCCTGCTAAACCAGGCAAGTGGCTTCAGCCCAGCTCCACGACGGCTGGGCATGAAGCCACTGGACTTGGTGCTGAAACACCAGAGAAGGACACTGGCTTATAAGCCATTTCAGCTGCTGCAGCAGGCAGGAAGAGAGAGAAAAAGGAGGCTACACCTGTAATCACCACAGCCTTCTGTAAGGGAACACGCACCTGCTTTAGGATGAAAAACAGCACTAGAACTGGACATCTGCTCAAGTTCCAGACATTTACACACACCGCATGTAAAAGCGTGCAATGTTTTGTGGACTAAGATGTTTTTAAAATCCCCCCCAACTCTTAGTAGGCAATTCATATGGATATCACATCCATCATATCTATTATTTGCAACAAACAAAAGGATCAAAAAACCTTTTTTTTTCCACTTCTCATAGAAATTGACTGTCTCCCAGTGTTTTGTTGATGTGGTCCTTGTACCGGATCTGCTTTCCTCTGTCAAACCTGCATTCTATGTGCTTGGTCACTAGAGCACAAACTGAATGTACTGGTGAAACCCTACCTCTGCTGGTACCACAAAAAGCCACGTCACATGTGGGTGACCACCAACAGTCACAACAGGCTCTTTCTGCCACCATAACTTTATCACAGAATCATTGAATATCCTGAGTTGGAAGGCACCCAAAAGGATCATTAAGTCCAGCTCCTGGCCCTGCACAGGACAACCCCCAAAATCCCACCATATGTCTGTGAGCATTAACTTCATGTAACTATGAACCCTGCTGGGATGACACTTTTGCCTGAAGTAGCCAGAGTGATTGATAGGTAACAGAGGTACGTTTTCAGCTAACAACATTCATGCTCTCCCATCACTGATTGCTTCCAACAGGGGCTCCTCTTCCTCTCTGCGTCTGTGGAACAGCTGAACTCCTCTTCCCCATAGCCCATACCACAAACAGACTCATCATCTGTACCACTGCACCATAGGAACATAGGCAGTTCCCTACTGATCTTCCATACAGTCAACTGTCAGCACAGGATATCTTGGAAGGTCATGACTGAGAGAATATGGTAAAATGAAGAAAATAATTTTAAAATAACTAAAACTGATAAAGTGAAGAGTCTTAACATTTTCCTCCTTTGTACTTTAATGTTGCATCCCAATCTCAACAATAAGCTGTAACTGAAATGGGATAAGTCAGGAGACACACATAGTCCAAGGGTAATGGCCTTTTTTTGATATCAGAAAAATGTTGTTGATACACTAGAAGTTCTTTTCTTCAACCAACTTTCCAAAGAGCCTCAAGGTGCCACCTCTAAGGTGTAAACTGCAGTTAGTGCTCCTGTGGCTATGGGGGGCTGCTCCAGGTACTATGGCAAAGGGCAACCTCCAACAGGAACAGGAAGCTCCCAACCACTGTCAAGTAAAAAAAATAAGGTACACCTGACTTTTCAACTGCCTCGTAATCCCATGTCCATTTTAATCCAGAATCTGCAACGTCACCCTGATCTCCAGACCTGTCCCCTTATAGAGCAGTCTTTGGACTATGCACCGAAACAGCCATAAACCAGTGTCAAGAGCATGGAGAAAGTGCATTATGACACTTCCCATGCCTCTCCTCTCCCTTGCTGTGCTCACACACATACACAGTAATTGAAAGAGACCCAGAAAACTTGGTGAATTTTCTCCCCCATTCAAGCTGACACGACAATTTATCTCAAATTTTACGTTCTTTTGGAGCACAACTTATTAGAAGCAACCCAAGAACGTGTGAAATTTGGTTCAGTGTGGGCTAGGGGAAATAAAAACACAAAATTGAGCCTAGAATTTATGTGAATGAGCAGAACCAAAGAAACAACTCCTCTGGAACCTGTTTGCTCAGGGCAATTTTACTGGTATAAGATAGGTGTGAATTTAAAATAGTACAATTACAGATGCTTAGTCCCTCAAAATAGATATATTAATTCAGACACATTTATTTTGCCTTTCCTCAGATTTGCTTATGTTGCTTTGGTGGGGTACATTTTGAAACAAACTAAAATCCACTCTTTTGTGGGTTATATTTTTAATGAGTTGCTATGGGTCAGCTGTAGCACAGTAACTGAAAATGCAACTATCCACAGGCAGCCAAAATTTAAAATAAAGGTTGAACTCTGTCCTGAAGCTCATAGCAAGCACATTGTGGTCTGTCTTTGTTATTTGCTGAGACAAAGTGTGGCAAGCTACCTCAGCTCAGAGAACACACAGCAACACAGTCAGCTGTGCTAGCTCAACCGTAAGTTAATCACTACAGCATCTACAAACATACTGCACTTTCATACATTTCTGCATTTACGCAACTCACACTCCTGCATTCATAGTTTCAGACATACTCTAAAGCTTTTACATTTGTGAAAGACACCACATTCATTTGTTGACACACATGAGCCATATTTGTTGCACTGTTTTATTGTCACTTTGTATTTTCTTAAAAGCGTGTTAATCCTGAGGTTTTAACCTTGGCAAGATAACGTTTAAAACCTAGACACAGCACAGTACTCCACTCTATCTTCTCTTGACTCATTATCTTTTACATGTATCAATGTCATTTACTGTAACAACAGACGTGCTAACACACAAAAACTTCAATTTACTTTGTAATGCAAATTTGTATTAATAGAAAATGTCATTCAGTAGACCAAACACATGCGAATTAGAACTGAATCATAGGAGTTTAAAAAAAAAAGGTACTTGATGTAGGAATGCCATGTTCTATAAAAGCTAAAATTAAAATATTCTTAATTTTTGCAGACAAAGACTGTAATGACACTCAGCAGGGAAAACGTATTTTCAATAGCCTAAAAATTCTTTTCCTGTTAGAGACTACAGTATTTACCTCCAGTGCCTGTGTAACAAACTACGTATTTTCTTAACAATCTATTTACAATGATACAGTGAAACATGTGCAGTAGTTGTTTTGCAACAGCCAATCTGCCATTTGATCTCTATGTTCACTTTTGCTTCTAAATTAAAGAGCTCGATGCTCACCCTGTACCTGACAATGTGCAGGGCCCCGTACCTGCACCTCCTGAAATTTGGGGACTCACATGAACTCAAGTGACAACATCAGGCCTATAATGATAGACACAGTTTACTCTACTGTGACCTATGATCTATGACCTTTTGCATCCTGAAAAACTCAAGCAGGAAATATAAATATAAGAGACAGCACAGTAACTAAATCCAACACTGCACAGATTTTATCTACAGAGAGCTATCTTGCAACACGAGCTAAACTTGTTTTTAGATGGGGCTTGATATGCCACAATAATATAACAGGTGTTAAATTTTAGAAAAACCCATGAAACTGTTTTTATTCTTTTAAGAAATCGTATCAGCCCAAGAATCAGTAGATGAATAAAAGCAAGTAATTTGTTTACACATGAACTAAAATCCACAGTCTAAACACTACGAATAGACTTCATATCCTCACTTAAACCTGTTCACTAGAAATCACTTCTGGTGCAGGAGCCTCCTAGGAGAGAGTATCCCGATTATCCTGCTCACTCTGTACTGACGTTAATCATGTTAATTTCTCCTTTCCTTCGCATTGCTGCATTTACCTAACGTTGCTAGACGCAGTTCCCCCCTCCCCCCCGTAAAATTAAGCATGTTAAGCATAAACAAGCTTAATTTAATAACCTTACTTAACAGCACCCGCATGTTCAACAGTTTAAACTACAGTTCTCCCACGCCGGCTCCCACCACGCTGTGAAACACAGCCACACCGGGCTGCACTCGCAGCCTCCCGAAACATCCTTTCCCGGACTGTGCCGCTGAACACCTCGGCAGGGACACCAGGTCCCCGCGGGCAGGGGCGCCCCGAGCGCCCCGGGGGTCCCTCCCGAGCCAGTCCGCAACTCCGCCGCGCAGCCCCTCGGCGGCCGCGGGCTTCCCGAGGCACCGTAACTTCTACCCTCCTGCCCCAGCCGACCCCCGCCGGGCCGGCCCCGGGGTTGCCCCGCCGGGGTGCGATTCCCCGCAGCCCCCGGGCCCGGCCCTGCGGGGCGGCGCCCACGCCCAGGCGCTGCCGCGCCGCAGACAATGGGGGCGGCAGCCCCGCGCCCGCCGGGCCGCGGCGGCGGCGGCGCTTCACTCACCGAACAAGGTCAGAGCCATCGCGGCGGCGGCGGCGGGGCGGGCCCGGGGGGCGGCGAGGGCTGGCCGGGCGGCGCGGCGCTGGCATTGGCGCGGCGGCAGCTCTCGCATCAGCGGCGGGGCGCGCCTGCAACACAAGTTGAGCGCGGGGCTGTCAGGACGCCCCGCGGCAGCAAGTGGCGGTGGCCGCCGGTGCCGCGGGGCGGGGCGGGCGCAGCCCGCAGGAGAGGGGAGGGCAGGGCCGGGGGGTGTCGGGGGGGGGCGGCCGGGGACCGCGCGGCACCGGGGGCAGCCCGCGCCCGCGCCCGCCCCCCGCCCGCTGCTCACGCTGCGTCCCGCCGCCTCGGGGAGCCATCTTGAGCCGCACGGCCCGGCCCCGCCCGCCGCGGCCGCCGGGACGGTTCCCATGGCAACGCGGCCGCCGCCGCCGGGGCACAAAGGGAAGCGCGTCCCCTCCCGCGGGGCTCTCGGCTCCCATCCCCGCACACCGACGGGGCACGGGCTCGTCCCTCGGGCACCGCCGAGCCGTCCCGCACGCCTTTGCTCCTCTGAGAAGATTCCCCGTGGAAAGCACCGCTACCCCACGGCCGGTGCTTCCTCCGCCTTGGCGGGGCTTTGCCTGCCTGATCCGGCAGGAGAGCCAACGGTCCTGTGAAACACATGACTTTTGAAAGCGAGGTGAGAATTGCCTCTTAAATGCCAGCAAGCACGAAGAGAGCAAACCCATATATTTCCCCTCCAAATCTTTGATTTGAGAAATTTCAGCCAGCCCAGCTACCGTCATTTTTCGCTGTCCAGGACTGTAAACTTCAGAGCTAAAAGCATTTAATTGAGAAGACAGCATCGCGCCTGGTGTAACTCACTTGTACAGTTTGCATTTTCAACCTGAAAACAGATACTCACAACAGAGGGTAGCGAGTACTCGGCAGACCCTCCCAGCACACGCAGGATAACCAGACCCACCTCTCTTGGCTGTACAGAAGTTCCTCACTCACAGGTACTTCTCTCAGATGCAAACTGCGTGCTGAGAATTCAAATCCAGCCTGAGCACAATCCACACAAGTTTAATCTACTACAGCTGTAGAAATTCACAACCTTCAGCTGAAGGCTTCGGAGACCTCAGCCAGGGCAAGCAGGCTTTGCAGGTGTTTTTATGAACATCACAGAGCCTGTCCCACCTTCGCTTGGGGCACCGTGGTGGCTTCTGCAGCGGGTGCGCAGTGAGAAGCCTGCCTTCAAGACAAGATTTTTGGCAGAGGACAGCCTGAAGGAAGAAGAGTGTGTACACAGGCTGCATCCACAGTTGCTGCAATTAATGGTTCCAGTTCTGTGAATGCAGCTCAGGGTCAGCAAGTACATAAAATACATTTTCTTTCAACAAGACAACTAAAACAAAGATCTGTCTGAAAAACATGTGGTTTATGCAGCTAGCTGTTTTCATGCTCAGTGTTCTACCTAATCTTTTTTGTAGACAACAAAAGGACAAGATAGTGTGGGAGTTTTCAGTATCTTTAAATCTGGTTTAAGACAAGAAAAACATGCAGGTTTTTTGTCTGTCAAATATTTCAAAATATAGGTTTTTATGTTGACATACTTTGCTTAGCATGCAAAGTTAAAATAAAAATAAACACTTTATCCCAGAGTGATAATTTCCTTCATTTTATTCCTTGCCAAAGGAATTCTAGCATGATGGACCTGATTTCACAAAACATTTTCATTTTGCATGTATAAAGTGCAAAAGTTTATTGAGCAGCTGGACTACTGAGAAATAATATTTTAATTACAGAGCTAAAAGGTTAAAAATAGATGAAAACTGGTTTGGAGAAAAGCAACACAATAAATCTTTGCCATCCTGCCTACATGATTTGACCTTTGTGTGCACGGAGTGTTTTGCTTGGCTTTTTGGAAATAAGTTAGACCTTCCTGCAGATTTTTTCCCTCTTACATTTCCTGGAATTAAATCCTAAGCTTTCACTCCAACTTCCTTCAATTAAACAGCCAGTTTTTACTATTCCACTACTCCCAAATCTTTATTGCTAACTACTGAACTGCGTGTTTACTTGAAAAATGCTTTCCTGTACAGAGAGTGTAACACAGTTTTAGGTATTATCAATACTAGAGTTGTTAAGATCAGTCTGAGTGATTTGATTAGTCATTTCAATTGTCTAATAATGCCTTTGCTATTAGTGCAGTTATGGCTAAAACCTAGGAAAGTGTGTTGGTCATTTCACAGTTAGTTACTGGAGCTGTATTTTACTGTGCCTGGAACAGTTCTGCAGCTGATCTGAACTTTCAAAACAAATTGAGCTCAATCATCATCTCTGATTAGATGCTTTTCTCGGTTTAGGAGGATGTTTTGACCCAGGCTTCAGCACCCTGCAGAGAACAGCAGCAGATTTTGGAAGGACTTCACCATCAAGCTCATACCCAGAGCTCTCAACCAGCCCTCACAGGTGTTAACACAAAAAAGGTGACGAGGGCAGCAAGGAGCGTGTCTGTACACAGCCCTCTTACCCGATGGCAGCTCTGGCTTTTACAAGGGCTGACAGCCTTAACATGGCAGGAAGAAATCAAAGATGCAAAGCAGAAAAAAAAATTAGCCTGAAGTTCACCAGGCAAAGATCCCTTCTACCACACCCTACTTTTGAATGGACCTGAAATCCTCATGGAGATTTCTGTTTAACAACAACATTATCTTAAAATTACATAACGCCTTATCGAGCCAGCACATATTAGTGCACCAGCAATAACAGTGATTTAACTGCTACTGTGGGAATTTCGTTAGAAGAGAGCTGGAGCTGACTGAGCACTGACCCGTGTCGCCTTGCACAGGGGCGAAGGGAGGAAATGCAGATACTCAGGAGCAGCTGAACCACAGCTCCCACCTGGGCCTGTTTGGCCAGAGGGGCTGTTCCTTCGCAGAGACCCCAGAGCATGGGTTTGATCTTTTGCAGGGGAGAGCACAAAAGAGAACCCTGTTGTGCATGACCTTGATGTAAATGGCAGCAAGTATGACCTTAGTGTCTTGTTTCCCTGGATCTTTAGCCCTTGAAAAGCCCTCCTTTGCAAAATTGGCTTGTTAGCATCACTTAGTGTAGAAAAAGCACTATTATACTTGCCACCTCCCAGGAGTATTTAGGGGTGTATTTACAAAGTGTACCTCAAGGATAAAGTCTCCAAAGAGAAATACATGCATAAAATGCTATTTTCTTGCCTGCTCACTGTCCTTCAGTAGGTTTCTTGCCTTGTCTCCCAAACCTCAAGGCTCTTTAAAAACTGCAGTCAGTTAGTACTGCTTCATTATTGAGGTAAAAGTTCATCACTGGGATTTGCGATTGGTTTCTAGTGTTTAGGTTTTTTTTATTTTGGCCCCTCTCCTTTTGCTGCCTTGCTCTGGGTGCTGAGCACTATGGGACCAGTATCCCATTTTCTAGTGGCCTTTCTTTGATCCATCACTTTGTCTGAGAGTCTTGTACAAAACTGCTTCTAATTACCTGACATTTATTCTTCAAACCTTAACTAATTCACTAATCATATAGTGATAAATTAGATTTTTAAAATTAATCACTGACATTTTTAAAGATTTATACACAACTGGAAAAAAAGGTTCCCAGCTAGTAAATACAATGTTGTGTGAAGGAAAAAAAAAACCCCACTATAAATTAAAGCTGTCCTGTATTAAAGGGAAGCAGTAAAACTGAAGACATGGGGAGATGTTACCTGATGAATAGCGGTAGCATCTTATCACAGTTAGTGTCTTTGTGCTACAGACCACCTTGACAGCAGGAAAACAGCACTGGTAAAAGCCTTGTCACGTGCAGAATTTAATTTAACTTCTAATGTGTAATTGCTGGGAGTTTGTGAGGCAGGCAGGGAGGTGGCCAAGGGCTGCCTTACCGAGCAGATTCGGAGTTCACAGTATTTGCAATGGAACATTTACTCCTTGGAAAACAGCAAGGCAGATTTCTACCACTTATTCAGTAAGATAAATTCAATTATTTTAGCTAATTTAAAAGTCATCAATTAAAAGTTTGAAGACTGACTACCAAGCTTGCTAGTTTTAATTAATGTTTATGTAGATGACAACTATTTAAATGTAACATCAAGCCTTATCACCAATCTCAGAATTGTCATTGCACATTACCAGCATTTTGGATAATCTTTCTCCCTTTAATGAGAGAACTGGTATTTGAGCTTATTTTTTGGATGCTGCTATTGTTTATTATTAATAGCAAAGTTATTTAAACACAATATTACCTAACACTGTTACAGGCATAGAAGAAGAGAGAATTCCTGCATCAAGTACAGCCGCTATGAGCAACCTTTGCAAACCAGACATAATCAGTGTTTTACTGGGATCTATGCTAGTCTGTAGATTTTGGTGGTAACTTTTTTTTCTTTTATCTACAGGGTACAGACTAGCAAAATAACAGTTACTAGGGGGAACTTGCATGTTGAATTTTATGATCATTGCCAAAGAAAGTGACATAAGTGTAACATATCCACCATGGCTCCTGTTTTAAATCACAACTACCAAATTAGGAACTCACATTTGGCATCCTACCCAAATCCATAGGACTGGCACTATGTCCCATAACAACTTACAGCAGTTTAGTACACAGTAGGTGGTGTACACCAATGAAATGAAAAATGGGCTTAACACACCTGCTTCTGGCTCTCTGTGTCATGAAAAAATGTTTGACAGAAATAGCTGGCAATGACAACCTTTAGAGTTGGATTTTTTCCTGGTTACAGTCAAAGTGAATGCCACAAGATCTAAGGGGAACCAGCACATGAGCACAGTCATAGTTTTAAAACTAAAGCTGTTTTCTTTGAAGCCTAGAGAATGTGCTTTGTTTAGACTGATGTTAAGAGATATTATGCCATTTTTGAATGGAACTGCATTAAAGTAAAAAAAGCTCCCCCTTGCCTATGTTTCCTGAACAAAGTCCTTTCTAAAAGAGTTTTTAATGAATTTTACATCATGACTCCCACTTAATTGGATTTCCAAGATGTGCATAAATGTGGTGAGAATTACATCATGAACAGGTACTATGGATAGGATATAGGTGATGCTACCTATGTATCTTGGCAAAATCATATGATCTTAAACTTTGATGCTGACACGTGGGGCATTTCTCTCACAGCAGGTTCCCGATGATATTTAGAGGCAGCAATATCAAAATAGGCAAGTGACTAAACTATTTATAACTGCAAAAGGGCTTTTTTTTTATTATTTGCAGCTGGCCTGAAGGTACTTTAACACCAGACTTTTTATGAGCTTTCTTACTGCTCATGTGCACACTTACTAGCATATCCCATCAGCAGAGACTTCTAGTGTGAGATCAGCTAGTAATAAAATTATTAAAATATTAGGAAATTTCAAAATTGCTTGCACTTTTGCTTAGATGTAAGAGCCACATACTCTAAGTTACATTTTTAAGAGTCCTGTGCAAGAAACACAATATGTTTTTGATTGCTTGTTTTATTAAGTGAAATGAACAGGCTAATTAAAGAAATTCCAGGAAGTTTCTGCTTTCTGTCTCCTAGGGACATGCCTCAAGTGTCAAAGGAGATAATACTGATGGCTATAAAACACCTAAGTGTGTTTATACTGGCTGTAAAATGCAACTTATAGCTTCTATTTAACTTTCATAATATTTCCTTTTTATACCATGCTTAGAAATTCATATTAAGGCATTAGTTGAAATAGTGCTTGTATATATTTGAAAAAAATCCCTGGTAATTCCAAGTTAAAAACCAGAAGGCAAGCCATTGGCAAAACAGTCTTGGGAATAAACTGTTATGACTATAATTTCATCCATAAACACTAAAAACTAAGAACAAGCTAGCCATTGAAAAATATAAGTCTCCAAGATACCTCTAGTCTTGTCTTTCAAAATGTATTTAACGCTGAGTGATGATCTTCTACTTGAAGCCATAAGCTATGCCACAGAGCTGGCTGTGGTTCTGCAATCACTTCAGACTTCTAGAACCACTAGATCCACTTGTAGATCCACTGGATGGAATTTGAAGGATTGTTAAAGAAATTGAACGTTCTCATAAGCAACCCAAACCAGCAATTCTGAGGTGCTATATAGAACTGACACACAATTACTCTATTTTCTAATACCAGTCCTTCAAAGTAATTTTATATTCTTAGAGAACCTATGTATGTGTTACTGAAGCTAGTAGACAGTAATGTTTTTAATGAGGATATTAGTTATCCCATGCAACTTGCTTCTCAGAAAGAGTTGCATCTTCTAGACTACTTAGGGTTCTTTGAGATAATGTTCATGTTTTAGAGCACATGAAATGTTTAAGGGTATTTTAAGGCTCAGTAATGCAGTTTACTTGAACAAAGGTGTATGAGCCCTGATAAGGCAAACTGCATCAGATTTGAAGTTGAATTCTATGTGATAGTTTAGAAAATGGACTATATGAATAAGAAATGAAGTTTGGAAAAGTTCTGATAATTTCCTGCTGTATAGACATATGCAATCTACTTATCAGGTGCCTTTGTAAAATGAACTTTAATGACTTGAAGATGCCTCTAAGTCCAAGCCTCAGAGTGCTGAGATAGCAGAAGCACTGGATAACTAATTTGCAGTTCAACAAGTCTCTGAGAGATGTGTTTACTTC